GAGATTGAACAGGACTGGACCCAGCACTGATGGTTTCTTTCAATGCATTTGCTCTTGATTATAGGGGTTTTATGGAGAGCGGTTTGGTGAAGATGTGCTCGAAGTGATTAAGGACTCAAACCCTGTGGACAAATGCAAACTAGATCCTAACAAGGTAAGAGCACAAGCACAGGGTTAGAAGTAGAACAGGTCCTGAGTGTGTGCAAACGTAATGGGACAAATCCTGCCCTGAATTTCACCATGTAGGCAATGAGATCCACGTGCAGAGCATCTAGTGACTGCCTGGGGTAAGAGCTGGGGAAAGTCATCCCAGCAAAGGAGTGCAGGGTTGGCTGTTTTCTTCCCTGCCATTTTAGTGATTGGTGGGAAGGGAGAAGATGGAAGGCAAGCAGAGTAAAGACCAAAACCAGACCTAGTTTTTCCAGAGGTGGCTTCAAGAGGAAAGCAAGCTGGGTTATTGCGCTGCTAAAAAAGCAGGGAGTAGGAGTCAGCTCCTCTCCTCTGGCCGTGTACCTCACCGTGCGCCCCTGGGTCCCTTCCTGCAGGCCTACATTCAGATAACCTACGTGGAGCCGTACTTCGACACGTATGAGATGAAGGACAGGATAACGTACTTCGACAAGAACTACAACCTGCGGCGCTTCATGTACTGCACGCCCTTCACGCTGGACGGCCGAGCCCACGGGGAGCTGCACGAGCAGTTCAAGCGCAAGACGATCCTGACCACGTCCCACGCTTTCCCATACATTAAAACCAGGATCAACGTCATCCACAAAGAGGAGGTGAGGCCTGAGCTCGCAGAGATCCTGAGACGTTACAGAGAGGCTTATCCCAGAGCTATGGTAGTTTTTCAGGGTTAGGGAGTGCTGTAACGATGGAGTGTTGGTTGCAGTGACCACAAAGGGATGCAAGTCTGCCTCCCTCAGAAAGCTCTTCAGTAGCCAGATGTAAAAACACATTTACAAATCAATTTTTTTCTTGATGCTTCTAAACCAAGACTGCGCGGATGTGTTACCAAAGTGCTTCTGTCCAGTCCTATTGGTGTCCTCCACTACTTGAGTGTGCCACCCCGAAGTGACCTCGGTGTTTCTGAAAAGTCTGTGTCTGGGTGACAGCCTCAGCCGTATTAACCATCGTGTGTTCTGGCTACTTGCTTAGATCATTTTGACGCCCATTGAAGTCGCCATAGAGGACATGCAGAAGAAAACACAGGAATTGGCTTTTGCAACCCACCAGGACCCTGCGGACCCAAAGATGCTGCAGATGGTGCTACAAGGATCAGTAGGTACCACAGTCAATCAGGTGAGCATCGCTGTATGAACTGGAGATGCCGGGGTAGTTCCTGTCGCTCAGTGCAGTGGATGCTCAGCATTGGGCCTTATTTCTAAATTATCTTGGGGTTTTTTTTCTCTTCCTGACATTCCCAGTTGTTTCTTCATCCTTCTCCCTTAAAAAAAAGTATTACTTTCCCTTTGGCTAGCCAGGCTCTGGTGGGTGGAAGTAGGATTGTGTCTGCTGTGGTTTTTGAACAAAAATGGAAAGCAAAAGGAGTGAATGGAGAGAAATTAAGAAAAAACTGAGGGAATATGAGTAAATCTCTACTAATGCACAAGATGGGAAAAATTGAGCTGGAGTTTCAAGTTCTGGGTTGGGTTTGTGGTGCTGGCAAACACTTCCCTGGTTCCATCTGCATTGTTTAAACTTTGTCTGAGTTGTGACTTGAGCAAACTTTGTCAAGAGTCCTTATAAGAGAAGACAAATGGAGAATCTGTGCGTTTTCTCACACTGTTTCCCAAAAGCAGAGTTTTATTTAAAAAAACAAACCCACAAAACTCTAAGAGATTCAGTTGTCACGATGTTTGGTGATTTATGCTGGATTTACCAGCTGCAGTCCTTCAGGATGCATTCTGTAAGGAAGTGTTGCATTTTATGGATGTTTCTGTGTGCGAGAAGTTTCTCCAGCAATTGGGTATGACAGATGTTACCAAAAACTTCCTTTTTCTCTTCTGCTCCTAAAGGGACCATTAGAAGTTGCACAGGTTTTCTTGTCTGAAATACCCAACGATCCAAAGCTCTTCAGACATCACAACAAACTACGGCTCTGTTTCAAGGACTTCACGAAGAGGTACGGAGTGTGGTCTTCAAGCTGCCCGGCAGGCACAGTTATCGCTCCACATCAGGCAGGAACACGTGGAGTAACCCAGTGGTGTCCAGAGAGAGGAGTGTTCATGTTTCAATGCCCACTTCCCATCTGCAGCTGCATTCCTCAGCTGCCCGCTTGGTTCCCTGTTTCTCTGGTCCATGACTTTAAGATGGAGAGGCTGAGGTCGTTTGGTGTCACTCATTATCAGGCATGAATTAGTGATTAGAGTTCAGTTGTGGACGAGCACTTCTGGTTCAGAAAACACAACCAGCCATGCTGGCACAGATGAACTCGCAGCTTGGCAGGGGCAGGAGGAGCTTCTGAATGGGCCAGTGGATTTAGTTTCCTGTTGAAGTGAATTTCTCCAAAGGGAGTGAAGCATCCTGGTGGAAATCTCCCAAGAAATGTGCTGGCTGCTCTGCTTTCCTTTTGAGTAACACAGGCTGTGGTCTCAGTCCAGCAGCTTCTGCAAGCAGCAAGAAACTAAAATTATATATATAATTGAAATAAAGGTGTTCCAAGCAAATAGATCCAGTGGCAACGTGGTTTTCCCAGATGTAATAAATGGCATTGATGATACAGTTACTTTCGTGCCCTTTGTTAATTTAACATCTTTGCAAGTAGAAGAGCTCCTGACGGACATCTCATAGACTGCTATTTATTAATCTTTCCTGGGGATAGCTGTCGATATATCCACCTTTAGACCCTCTTGGACAGAAAGTGGCTTTGTGGAGATCAGCTTTTTATTTCAGGGAGGATAAAGGTGACTGGAGACTGAACTGAAGTTAAAATGGAGTTGCCCCTCTGGAAACAAAATGGAAATACAGCACCCTCTCCCTTCCCCATGGACACCAGCCAGGTTAGCTGAGCCTTTATTACCCAAAAGACCAGATAGAGGAGGATATTACACCCCAGAGGAACAGAAGGGATTTTTTTAATAGTGTTATATTAACAAGTCTCTAGCAAGGAGGTCCTTCTTTCTGTGCCCAGGTTTCACAGGCTTTTGTTTTCTAGATGTGAAGATGCTCTGCGCAAGAACAAGAGCCTGATCGGTCCCGACCAGAAGGAGTACCAGCGGGAACTCGAGAGGAATTACCACCGGTTAAAGGAAGCGCTCCAGCCCTTAATAAACAGGAAGATCCCACAGTTGTACAAGGCAGTGCTGCCGGTCACTTGCCACAGGTGGATATTTGATTTTACTTAAAGAGGGTGTAAAATGGAGGTGTCTGATCTTCCTGGTGCCATCTCTTGGTTTTCAATTATAGCTCTTCTGGCTGAGCCCGTCCCTTTTCCCTTCTGTCCTGACCTCAGAGCACATCCCCTTCCCAGTTTTACGGCAGGTGATGGTTGCAATGGTTCCTTTTGATCCTGATCTAGGAGAATGTTTTTTGTTTGTTTTTTTTAATCCTGCATCCCATTTCTTTTTAGATTCAAAACCACCCTCAGTGTGGCAGGACTTTGATATTTGTTTATTCCCAGTGGAACTGGGACGGGCAGGGGGGAAAAAATAGTTGGCATCTTCCATGCTGGTACCTGTCAGCTGGGATCCAGGCTTTTTGTTCATCTGCCATGAGAATGAACATAAAAACCCCACTGGGAATGTGTGGAGCAGGTCGTGGTCTCCAAGCAGGTGGTAGGGTGGGGGTTAATTTTTGGAAGGACATCGTTAGCACTGAGCAGGACAGTGGCGGAGCTTTGAAGGACAGCACCTTTAGAAGTGCTGTGCTATTGTGGACTCCAGCTCATGTCCATGCCCTTGGTTTAGGAAAACACAGCCCTGGTTTTGAACCTCTCCTTGTGTGAGTGTTGTTCAGAGGTGGAGAGAGGTGGGGAGACCAAAAAATGCTGTGAAAAGAGAAATTTGGCAAAATCCCATTATAAAAAGAGCACGATTTAGTGCTGGATGAAGGAGGAGATGCATGTTCCCGGCTCACAGTGCTCAGTGGCTGAATTTGCTGTATTTGTCTGTCTGCTGAATTCTGCAGAAAGGTGACCTTTGCTCATTGCCCAGGTTCGTGATGTTTTAAGCTCTCCCCAGTCACACACCACGTCCCAGCTGTCCTCTGTTCGCTTTTCTCTGCCTGGGGCTGGGTGGGAGCCTCACAAGCACTTTTGGCGGCGATTATTTTCTAATCTGGTGAAATTCAGACTGCACAGGGAGGCTCATACAGGTACTCCAGACAAATTCCTCTTAGAGATTTATTTGAAAGACTTAAATAAGATTGCAGTAGTGCAGGTGGTTTGTGCTGCTTCTCTACACACAAGAATTAAACTTTGTCAGCTTTCACATCAGTGAACGTGATTTGAATGATGGAGTGTTCCCAGACACAGACCCCAAACCCATTCGTTTGAAAAGCGACAAGTTAATGTCAGTGGATTTGATTTTTGGTAGTAGCCACCTGTAGAAAATACTGGAGATTGAGGACAGAATTGTTCATCTGAGGAGACTTCTTATTTCACCGTGGAAAATATGAGCTCATCATTGTATTTTTTCTCCCTCAGAGAC